GGGATGTGATGGCGCAAGGTCGCGTGTACGTGAAGCAATTCCAGACACATACTCTACTGGAACGCCTCACAACTCAGTCTGGGGTGTTCTGGATGGCGAACTCAAGACCGACTTCCCAGACATCTGGAGCAAGACTGTGGTCTTCTCCGAAGAGCACGGAAGCATATTGATGATTCCACGTGAGCGCAATATGACGAGATTCTACATTGAGATGAAGTCTTCCACGACCTCAAAGGAGCTAGGCCAAGAGTACGTCATGGAACAAGCTCAACGTATCCTCAGCCCTTACAAAGTTGAGTGGCTGTCGGTCGAATGGTTCGGAAAATACAGCGTCTCTCAAAGGGTAGCTGCCTCCTTCTCTGACCCTGAGAAGAGAGCATTTATCGCAGGAGATGCAAGCCACACCCATAGCCCGAAGGCTGCTCAGGGAATGAACACAAGTGTACATGACTCATGGAACCTTGGTTGGAAGTTGAACCTCGTCTCTCGAGGTCTAGCAAACAAGGATTTGTTGCTTGGAAGCTACGAGAGTGAGCGCAAAAAGATTGCCCATGATCTTATCAACTTCGACTATGAACATGCCAATGAAATTGCTGGCGGTGATGCCAAGCGGTTAGCAGAGAATTTTCGAACCAACATCAGATTTATCTCGGGTGTTGGTGTTGAATATGGCCCGGGTGTTCTCAACTCCGGATCAGCGGTGGGAATTCTGAAGCCAGGATCCAACCTACCTCCAGGCAAGGTAACCAGATATGTCGACGCAAACCCGATAGACATACAGTTGGACATCCCCATGCTGGGCCAGTTCCGGGTCTACGTCGTCGTACCAGATCTCGATAATTCCGCCCAGGCCAGCTTCATTCGCAAATTCAATGAAGCAGTGAGCTCTGGTTCATCATTGATCTCCCGGGCGTCAGTGGCAGCCCAAAAATCATACAGCGAGAAACCGCGAGCCGAGAGGAATAAAGACGTTTATTTCAGACCAGAGAGATACACAACAGTGAGCCAACTTATTACGTTTTCTCTCATAAGTAAGTACAATCTCACCAAGCTTTTTGCACGAAGAGCCACATCTAATGTCCTGCAGCTGCTACCGAGAAGAGCAATTTTGAGATCGCAAACCTGCCTCGGATTTTCTCTCAAAGTCCATGGACCGTCTACCTGGACGATGTACCAAATTTGGATACCCAAGGCAAGCCTTGCATTCAGAAGTGGCTGGGAGATCTGGGAAGCGATAAAGTCTCTGTCATCAATGTCCGTCCTGATGGCTATGTTGGTTCGGTCGAGACTTTTGATCTTAGCACAGAAAACGCGGGAGATGATGCTGCTGCCTGGCTAGAGTCTTACTACGGAGCATTTTTGCAGTTTTAGGGGCTTAATACGATATCTTGCGAACCATAGAAATCTCCTACCATGAACGCATGAAAGCAATAGTAGCGTGTGTTTAATTAATTGCATTATATGAACCGTGCGTCTTCAATAACAAGATTGTACTTAGATTGACCCTGAAATTGTACCTCATGATAGGTCTTCACAACTCTGCATCTCTCAATTGTAGGAAATGCTCCAACCATTCATTGTACACTGTAGGAACAACAGCTAAGATCATGCGTCGTATAGGTATCAATACCATAAGCCTTAGAACCCCGTACGATCCCCAAAAGTGATTAGTCGATGGCTCATGGTGAGGCCAGACCCTGTTGATTGCGTATAGATGGATTGTCACTGAAACCCAGGGTGGTCGAGAGTGGGGTGGAATCACACCATGACTCGAGCGTGGATAACAAGATTCGCTACCTTGCAGATAAGATAGAACGTATCTTCGTAATCAGTCCGCACTAGAGCTAAAGTAAGCCAATCAGATACATGATTTTACAATCTGGGGTGCCGTGGAGTGCGAGCTAGAACCTGCGGCTGATGCCTGTCGTCGACCTGGTTCCTGGATGTAAGGAAGTCCAATAACAGCAGGTAGATTTACGTGACCTTTCATGATACAGCACTAAAAGCGAGACTGCATTTTTTCATATAACTGTCCCTCCCCGGATTAGCTGCCTGTGCCGTTAAACCTTGCTTCACAACCCTGTCTAACTATCCGTTGCTTTTCTACAAACATATCCATCATGTCTTCCACCGGAGAGAAGAAGGTAGCCCTAGACGAGGGAATTCGGCGAGCTTCAACTACGGTCTCTGTCCAGTGTGGCGAAATCAAGCCCAGCTCTGATGCCGTGACCCAAAGCTTCTATGCTTCCGCCGTCAGTGAGAGCTATGCGAGGAAGTCCGAGCTGATTGCTCATCACCTTAATGAAATAGGGACCGAAAAGTAAGCTTATCATGATAGTTTTACTCTCGCAGATGAAGATTTTATCACTAACATTCAATGCAGGTTTCAATGGATCCTGTTTGTAGTCAATGGTTGCGGGTGGATGGTAAATTCCATAACACCAACCCTGTCTTCTTAATGGTCTAGAATACTGATGAACGGGCAGATCGACAACTTCTGGTCCCAAGGTATCTCAGCAGTTCGACCCGCGATCGCAAACGAGTTTACAGATATCCAACGCCTTAGCTACAGCTCAATCGCTTACTATGTTGGCTTGATCGTGGGGGCCCTCTTCTGGGGAACAGCAGTCGACTTCATTGGACGCAAACCCGCATTCAATGCCACAATTATGATTGGGGCAGTATTTGCTTGCGCTTCTGCTGGCTCACAGAACTTTGTGACGTTCTGCTCGCTGTGGGCTGTAATTGGTACCGCTGCTGGAGGTTGGCTCAGCCCACCATGAACAGGCTACATTGTGCTCTTAACTGACAATACTCCAGGAAATGTCCCAGTTGATAGCATTGTTTTCCTCGAATTTGTGCCACAAACCCACCAATGGCTTCTTGTGACGCTCTCTGCCTGGTGGAACTTTGGTCAAGCGGTAGTCTCACTACTGTCATGGGTGTTCCTCGCCAACTTTGCTTGTTCGGCCGATCAGGCACCTTGCCTCAGACAGGATAACATGGGATGGTGAGCTACTACAAATCCTACTCCGTCTTGTACTGCTACTGATAGTCAAAATCAGGCGATATTTGATGATCACGCTCGGAGGCCTTGCGCTTGCACTTGGTCTGCTCCGTATCTTTGTCTTCAAGATCCCAGAGTCCCCCAAGTTTCTTCTTTCCAAGGGCCACGACGCCCAAGCGGTTGAAGCCGTCAACTACATTGCCAGATACAACGGCAAGCCCGAGACCTTGACCCTCGACATGCTACAGGAGATTGATCGCCAGATTGCCGCCCAGGACGCTTCGGCCAACCAAACTAACGTCTCTGATGAAGCCCAAACCACCGCAATCACTCCGGTTCGAACAAAGCTCTCTACAATGGATATTATGAAAGAGAGCTTCAAAGATTTCAACGCTAGTAACTACAAGGCTCTGTTCGCTGGAAAGAAGATGGCCCAACACTCCATTGTGACATTTCTCATCTGGCTCACGATCGGAGTTGCCTATCCGCTCTTCTTTGCTTTCATTACTTCTTACATCGAAGCCAACTCCCATTACACAACCGACACTTCTTTCAACCGCACATACATCATCTACATCATCGTGTCTGTTGTCGGTGTTGTTGGACCGATTTCAGCTGGATTCGCTGTTGAGACTCGTTTCGGGAGAAGATACATGATGGCCCTGAGTGCGGCTCTCACAGGAGTGTTCCTTTTCGCCTACACGACGGTCAAATCTGAGGCTGCTGATATCGGCTTTCAGTGTGCAACGGCCATTCTTGGTAACTTTGGTAGGTCCAGATCGCTTGCGCATCATACCTAGATGAACATTGTAGCTAACCAGAGATCGCAGAGTATGCCGTCATGTTTGCATTTACGCCTGAGAGTTTCCCGGGCCCTGTGCGAGGAACCGGAACCGGAATTGCAGCAACACTCCTCCGATTCGGTGGCCTTGTTGCTAGCTTTGTGTCATCGTATGCTGGCTATACCGTTGTGCCTATTTACGCAAGTGCAGCGCTGTGGATTCTTGTTGGCCTGATGTGCTTCGGTCTTCCGTATGAGACACATGGGAGAGCCTCTATGTAGATGGGAGAACACTTCCGTGCGAAGCTTTGCCTTCCTCAAGGGTGGTGGTTATTGGACATGATATGAACGTCTTGGCTTGTACGATGAACTAGTTTTTTCTATATTGAATACTTCAATGTGGATGAATTTAATCAGGTCTGTGAGTACGAATTGTGCTTGAGTTTACAGACACTCTAAATGCCGGAGTACGCACATCCTCCCAAGGTGACGTCAGATCAGTATCAAAAGCTAGCCTTCTAGATCGGAACGGAACTCCCTCAGCGAGCCAAAGGGGTATCCTACTGTAGCTCTGTGACAATAAGCCACCACTTTGAAATAAGCATTAGCTCAATATGTGTCCTACTCCACATGCGTAGCTGGAGTAACATAGCTTCACGTTCGTCGTAGATCGGCACATCAGTCTCGAGTTAGGGAAACTGAACACACATCGTACGAGACAGATTATGAGCCGAATCGGGCCCCATGCACATAAAGTTCAAGAATGGGGTGTCGCAGGTTGGGGAGAGCCTTGTCGTTATTCGGCATGGGTTAGCCTGCAAGGCGTGCGGGCGCTGAAAACCCACCCTCCCACTCTTGATCTTCCCTTCTTAACAACCCTGGCTGTTTATACCACGCAGATGTGAAGCTATTAACTGGGGTAACTTTCAATTTAGCCATGTAAAGCGTAGTGCCCACTCGTAGCTTGGTTGGGAAAAGGGGGCCACGCTTGCCACGACCTTGTGAGGCAGTTGTTACTAGGCTATGCACATTGAGTTTTCTACCATTCATACCCAAGGCTTCCTCCAAATAATCATGTTAGTAGAAGACATCTTACAAATGGATATGCATCAGATAGTGAAGATCGTGGATTGTGTGCGTAAATTGCGAGTTCTGATACTGATAGGATCATGAAATGATAGGTCAAGGCGTTTATTTCAAACAATATGATATCTATTTATTCTCGTGACTCCATTCCAAGGGCTCGTCGTATTGGTTGACAAGTCTTTGAGGGACCAACCCTTTCAACACCGTAACACCAGCGTGCACAATACCCCATCTAACCTTGGTTAGAATCTCGGCCATTGTCCATACCAACCCATTTGCTTGTCGTTTTGCTGCCGGTAGGTTGGTGGATTCACTGGCCTGGGCCATGCTAGCTACCAAACTCTCCATTTCAGACTGGGGGTTCCATATCATTTCGTCATCCTCGTCTATCTCATCCAGTCCCACGGATGAGCCACTTGGTCGATTATTGGGACGAGCGTGATGGTATGCCCAGCAAGTCAAAGTCACTATGTATAGACACCAAGGAACATGAAACAGGCTCATGGCCTTTGATGTTGTGAGTGTCCTAGTATGCAGGTGGAGCATATTAGCGGCGTGTCTTGCTGCAATCCTCGCTGGATTCATCATCATTCTGCTGTTTCCTGCTGGGGAATCCGGAGAGTCCGTCGAGTACTGGGGCGTTGGAGGGTTGCTGCCCTGAGCCCCCTCCAAGGTGTCATTGCTCGATGAAGCGGCCCAGCGCTTGACGATCTGCACAGAGCGGAGAAAGTCTCTTTGCTGTACTGGACGCCCTAGAATATGGCGAGCACCAGCATATATCTGAACATCCAAGAAGTCCATATTCAGCAGAACCTTGACTGCATGATACAGCGCCTGGTATGCAGCTGCATAGACTGCAATTTCGGAAATCTGGGCCTCCTCAGTCCCAGTACGTTCAACTGCGTTGCTCACACGCCGTCCACTCCTCTGAGCATTTTGTAGTCGAGCGATCGATGCGGTGCAGTGTGCACTGAAATCTTTCTCCCAGCGATCATAAGCCGAGCTAATCATCCTCTTCCACCCAGGCCTGCCGCTCACACCACCACCTGCAATGACTCCGAGAGCCGTCTGATCTCTCCTTTCCATATCCCAGGCAATGGACATCAGGCCATGTAAAATGAGAACGCGAGCTAGAATGGTGAGATTAGAAGGACGTGGTACCGATGGCGAAAGGTAAGACTTAAGTGCAACAAGATACGGGGTGCCATGATCTGCGGATGGTGTTGATCTCCATGCCGCTGCCCACAAAGCAGGGTCCCTCGCTTCCCAAATCCCTTGAGTGCAGGGCATGTTGACACGAAGCTCAAAGGCAGACATGCACAAACTTTGGCAGAAGAGCACAGCGTGCTGAGTGTCCCACATGAAGCAAAGGAGAGCAAGTCTGATTTAAACAGTCTGTCAGTTTATTGTCACCTTCAAGGAGATTTTAATGCCATACCTTTTCTTTTGCTCCGCCACAGTCCATTTCAACCAAGCCTGCCTCAAGCTACCCTCGTGATTCTCATCTGATATAGTGGGCGGGCCTACTGGCTGAACGGACTGGCAGTCTGATCGGCGAATGAGATTGATGAGGAGGCCATGGAACAAGTGGCTCATCTCATGCTGCTTCTGGCCAGCTCTGGACTTGCCAAAGCACTCCACCAGTAGGATTGTCTGTAACGTCCAAAGCTTGGGCTGGGGCGAGAACCCGGCGTGGGCAAATATTTGGGGCCGTATTGAATCGTGGATGCACACAGCTAATTGGTGAGAGTCTTTGCCTGAGTAGGTTGCACCCAATAGTAAGATGGATAGTAGTAGTAGAGGCTCTGCATCCGCTGGGTTGAATGAAGCCAAGTGAATGAGAGGATATGCTGTATTAAACCGGGTAAAGAATAAGTCAAGATAGCTCTGGAGTGACGTCGTGGATAGCAGGGGATCTTGCCACATGGACTCGCGCTGCTCGGGAAAACAGGGGTTCGATGCTTCTATCACATTCAAAATGCTTTGACGAACGTCGTCGTCTATTTCGGGGACGTGGATACTCTGAATAGAGGAAAAGGGCCTCTCGAGAGATGGGGGATGTTCCAAAGTCACTGGGTTCCGACGTTTCTGAGCTATTACTTCGACGGGTGATGAAGCTGCGGATACAATCCTCCGTTCTGTGCCATGTCCAGGGATAAGTGATTCGTTTATGAGTGACTGGTGTGCTCTTTCTGAGAAAGTTTCGTCCCGGGTCTGATTACTAGCGATGCTGTTGTGTCGGCGAGGATCCATGTCCTGCACGGAGTCTTGATGAGGTTCTGACCAGACGTGCGAGCTATTCATTGATACGGGCGAGGCAGCAAATGAGTTTTTCGAAGTAATGTAAGCGTCAATGTTGATGCCGGTGTTTGGACCCAATGAACCTGTATCTTTTTCAAGGGGGAGAGAAAAGTCGCGAATATTGAACAGCCAATTATAGTCAAGAGCAGTAGTATAGGGCATGTTAAATGATGATGCGGTGTCAGGCTGGAAGATTTGATCGTACTCCAACTCGGAGATGTTTTGCTGGATTGCCAAGTCTGTCCAGGATGAATCATACGGGACAAAGGAGGTTTGATTCTGAGCTCCCGAATTGGGGTCAAAGCAGTCGTGGGAGATAGGACTATGAGGGTTGAACTCTAGCGGTGCCCGATGCTGCTGGTGTTGGCGAGCCTCCTCGCCAAAGGGGAGGCAGTCGATAGGGGCGTGCTGAACAGCTTCAGGCCCTGCGTTTGGAAAGAATAAAGAGTCGCTGTTCACCAAAGACTCTGTCACATCACAAGGCTCAGGATCCGGGGATGGCTCCTGCTGAGCGACCTGCTCAGGAGGGCCCTCGTCAGTCTCGCTGTTGAGACACGGACGTTTCTGGACGACAGCGCCGTCAACCGTAGCCCAGGCTCGTTTTCTAGTATCCAATGTGCCACAACCAGGGCCGCCTGCTTCCAAGTCTTTTTGACGGTGTCTTTCCATATGCCTCTCTGTTGGAAATACGTTAATATCGGCGGCGTCGACGCTTCAGAACAGGCTGGCATTCTACATACTCAAGAGGTCTGGGCGCTTGAAATGGGCACGGCAGAGTTCACAAGCTAAGCCGCCGGGAGCATGATTGAGTGCATGGCGTTGAAGATGCTCGGCTCTTGTGAAGCGTTTGGGACAGCCTGGATGAGAGCAAACGAAGGATTTCTCCTGTGTTGCTGGTACATCGTGGGCCTGCTGGTTAGGCATCGAGGGCATCACTGATCTGGCCATGTCCGCCATTCCTTGAGCAATTCCATCCACTCCTGATGGGCGATGGGATGAATGGAGGTTGAAAGTAAGGGTATTAGGGGCCATGTCACCACCAGCGTTGCTGCTGGGTACCAGCGGGTTAATCAAAAGTGGAATTGAGGATGATAGTAGACGCCAGTAATGCAATGGGTCCGTCCCACAATAGATAAAGAACGAGAGAGAGACGGCTACGATGCCCCTGGGAAGAGTGGGAGAGAGAGGATGCCCTGATAAGCAGCTAGCTTAGGCAGATGCTGGGGCCGGCTGCGGGTCGACCCACGACTCATGACATGCAGACGCCGAATCACGGAAGAAAGAGCAGCTGCGTGATTGGGGGGTCTTGTAGTAGTGGGAGGGTGTTCAGGCTAATCTTATCCTCTCTTGCAACGATTCATAATCCAACCATTCCAGACTCTACCCCACATACCCCTCGCTTCTAGTCCGGTTTGTTCTCGGCTTCTAACAGAATTCACGGGAAACGAACAGTTGATCCAACCTAAACCAGCAAGCCCTTCCCCTCCCACAGACTTTGAACACTTTCTCGGCCGCCCTCACTTCAGCCTAGCCTATCTTGTAGGCTCCTGCACAACTGTGCCTGCACCTCAACATGATCGACACACACGGAAAACATGGCACAGACACCAAAGCCCGCTGGGAGGATGTCGTTGCTCAAAAGAAGAAGTTGCAAGCTGAGGCTCTGGCCATCAAAATTGAGTCGCTGCCGTTAAGTATCGCCGGGAGCATCACGGCTCTGACCTCGCCAGATGAAATTACGTCAAAGATTCTTAGTGGAGAATTAACTTCTCACGAGATCGTCGGGGCATTTATACAGAGGTACCTTTCCATGAGAACAATACTGATATGTTGTAGGCGAAAAGCCATGTTAACTTGATACTCTCTAGGGCTCGTGAAGCACATGAACAGGTACATTCATCCCACATCTCAGAACTAAAACCTTACCATTCTTACACGCGTCTCTCTTTTTCAAACGATAGACCAACTGGTATGTACAATTTCATAAAACGTATGTACTGTTAGACCAGCCCGGGGTTAACATCGGCGTGTACTCCAAGCCTGACCGAAATCCTCTTTGAGGAGGCTCTGAATGAAGCGAAAAAGTTGGACAAGTACTTTTCAGAACATGGAAAGCTCGTTGGCCCCTTTCATGGGGTTCCTGTCACCCTAAAGGACCAATTCGATGTCAAGGGTCATGATTCAACGATAGGGTATGTTGGCCGAAGCTTCAAACCGGCTGAGGAAGATGCAGTCGTTGTAAAGCTCTTGAGGTCATTTGGTGCGATTATCATTGCAAAGTCAAACCTGCCTCAGAGTATCATGGTAAGAACCCTTTAGAGCGCATTATGTAGAAGTGAGGAGTATCTTACATAAATTAAGTGGTGCGAGACAGAAAACCCGCTCTGGGGGCTCACAACAAATCCTAGCGATAAAGATTATACACCAGGAGGTTCAACTGGTGGCGAAGGTGTTCTACTGGCTTTGGATGCCAGCATGCTCGGGTGGGGGACAGATATCGGAGGGAGTATTCGAATTCCTTCCCATATGATGGGACTTTATGGATTGAAACCCAGTGTAAGTGCTCTGACCCTCCTCGTTATAGACAGTCCATCCTAACTAGCATACACACCAGAGTGCTCGACTTCCCTATCGAGGTGTCCCAGTCTCCACCGATGGACAGGAGCATGTGGCTTCATCTATTGGTCCTATGGCTCGTAGTTTGAGTATGATTCACGCCGTGACGGAAGCTCTCATTTCCGCCGAGCCATCGAAATTAGACGCTCGATGCGCGGCCCTTCCATGGAAAGAAGACACATTTCAAGAAGTTCAGTCTCGCCCATTGACTATCGGCGTTTTGTATGATGACGAAGTTGTGCGGCCGCATCCGCCAGTTGCTCGCGTTTTGCGCACAGTTGCTGAGGCTCTCAAGGCTGCTGGGCATGAAATATTGGAGTGGGATGCTAAGCTTCACCCTGAATGTGTGGCAGTTATGGTACCGACACTTCTCAAAGCCTTCACGATATTACACCATTGCTAATAGTAATTATTTTAGGATCAATATTACACCGCCGATGGAGGGCAAGATATAAGAGACGCTGTGTTAGAAGGAGGCGAGCCATTCATCCCTCATGTAGAGCGTCTTATTAACTCCGGGGCTCCAATTTCGGTATACGACTACTGGGCTCTTAATCGGAGTAAAGTGGAACTTCAACAAAAATACATGGAAAAATGGGATAGTATCAGGTCCCCAAAGACTGGTCGGGTGGCTGATGTGGTGATTTTGCCACCCTTGCCGCACACGGCTGTACCTCATACAGCCTGTCGCTGGGTGGGTTATACCAAAGTGTGGAACTTTCTAGACTACTCAGCCTTGGTTCTTCCCGCTGGTACTGTAACTCAAGATGACATTAGCGAACCTTGGGAATTCGCCCCTAGGAATCCCAAGGATGAATGGACCGGCAAGCTTTGGCAAGATCAGAAGCAGAAAATGGCAGACTTGAGATTGCCAGTTGGCGTCCAACTGGTTTGTAGAAAGCTTGAAGAGGAGAAGCTTCTTGGTATCGGCAAGGTTGTCGATGAAGTGATTAGAGAAAGTAGAGCGGGTCATAAATAATTTAGACACCGGTCAATACAATTCGCCGTGGTCTATTTGGGAAACTCAGCTTAACAACAAGTAGGTCGAATGACCATTTTGTTCTAACATCATTCATTTTACATTTATGAGGGTTGCAAGAATGTGAAATACGATGATGGATCTAGAAGAGGAATTCCAAGAAGAGTTCATAAGGACCTAAATATCTTATCTACACCACCCCTTTTCTAACAGAGACGCTTGGCAGTTCGATACACGATAACCATATCTATCAGATGACGACTAAGTACATTTAGGATACTTCGGAGATATTTCATCACGTCTACATGCCAAATATTATGCATCTAGGGTTAAATGGTTAATTTATTAATTAGGTATTTAATATGGAGTTCACGCTTGAGACTTCTTCCACTCCTCGTACTTCTTCATAACCTCTTCCTTGCTTGCTGGCATCAATGCTCCTTCAGGAGCCGGGTTCTTACTCTTAAAGTAATCGCACATCTGTTGAAAAGGTGAGAAGTCAGTAAATGTCGGCCAGTGCCGCAGAAAGGGTTCCCAGGGATGCAAATTTCCAGGTGGATAATTCAAATCCTTACCTCTGCCATCGTAACCCACTCCACACCTTCATGCTTGTTGATGTGTTCAATGAGTCTTTCATGCATCAACAGGACGTGCGGTCGTCCGGAGACATCACTTGGGAGTATTTATTAGCCTAGCTCTGAAAGATAAGTGACCATTTCGAATGCAACTAACGGGTGAATGGTCATCGGGAAAATAAACTCATCTATGAGGACTGGTTAATATAAATGTATCAAAAGATTATGTCAATAAGAAATGACGTACCATATTCTCGGTAAAAGTAGTCGAAATGATCTCTCCAAATGTCTTCAACATCCCTTGGATTCACCCATCCATGAGAGTTGGCAGAGTTCTTCATGAACATCATCGGTGGTAGATCATCGATATACCTAGAAAAATCAGCTTCTATTATCATTGATATCTGGAGATCATCACTCTTACCAGGAGCCTGGAATCTCGACCAGGCCAGTCTCTTTCCCTTTGACAAGAGGCTTCATCCACTCCTCTGCCTTCTTTGAGTAATCGATCTTCGTCCAACTGTCCCCTGTACGTAGCCAGTACGCCTGACAATCTTCGTGGGACATTGAATGATCGTATCTTTACGGCTTTATTAGCATTGAAACGTTTTGGAAGGTTGGCCATGAAAGGGTGTCTTACTCGATTCCATAGCTAAGCATAAGTTCTGTGCCTTCCGCGCTGGTTTCCCACCAAGGGGCTACAGAACCACGGGGAGGCTTGCCGCAGAATTCTGTCAGCATCTTCCAAGTCTTATCCAAAACATCTCTTTGTTGTTCCAAAGTCATGTCTACGGGATTTTCGTGACTGTAGCCGTGAAGGCCTTGGCGAAAGTTAGTATGGTCCTGCTTAGCCCTGGATCTGATTGCCTACCAATTTCGTGGCCCGCATCTCGTACCATGGCACATTCTTCTGGGAAGGTTTCCAGGCTGTGGCCAGGGATAAACCATGACGCTTTGATGTTATACTTCTCGAACAGAGAGAGTAGGCGGCGGGTGCCAATTGTACCTGCCCAGAGACCTGCATGCAAAATCAGCATTGCACTTTAATTGGAGATTACATTGGACAAACCTCGAGATATGTCACTCGTTGAGTCTTCTCCACCGTCTGGATGATAGTTAGTTCTAGGTCTAAGCAAGAAGGGCTACTGATGACGCACAGGAGCCCAGCCATCCCGCAACAGCATCAATGTCAACACCGTAGCTAAATTTATCTTAGTAGGATGCGAACATGATTTTGATTTTGATGATGACCTACCAGACGAGAACCTTCTTCTTGCCCATGTTGGAGATTAGTCTTTTTCTCTGGGTTCTCTGATTCGTTGATTCGTGAAAAAGGTAGGGTTCCAATAGTATAAAGTTACGTGAACTCAATCAACACAGCAACTTAGCTTCATTTGTCATTGCAGTCCAGGAGCAGTCTTATGCATGGATATTCACAGAGGCCTATCATCTCAACATCTCGAGGGTGGAGACAGTTTGCTTCAACTAGTGCAAGACGTTCGCCTACATCGACATCAACCCCGCAATGCTACCACGACTGTTGCATTATCTCGAGTAAGCGGGAACAACGCTTGTATCGCTGGGGCAGCAAGAGTGGGCAGTGTGTTTATCTGCGGGGGTGTTTAGCGTCGCCAATGGTCACGATGGCAGATCTCCGCGAACGGCGAGTAATGAGGCATGTTCACGTCGTATTTCATTGGCACACCCACTCCCCCATCCTCGCCCACTCTTGGCTATCATGTTGAAAATGGGGCAAATGGCCCATTCAGAGGGTATTCGTTCCGCGGCTGTGGCCCACAACATCAATGCCGTGGATCGTTTTGATATTGGAGGGGCAGATACCAAGTGATAGAATATGTGGAAAACGCAGTCCAGATATGCAGCCGGCGAGAAGGTGTTTAGGGTTGTCTACTGCCAATATATACAATAATTGTAAAACTTACAGTACGTTAAGCCCAAAAAAAAAAGAAACCTGTCTTCTCAAGGAAACACAGCCCACCCTCAATCATGTCCAAGGTGAGTATAGCTTGATGAAAAAGGCATCCCCATTTGTTGATGTATCAATTAGTCTGCTAATGTATTCGAATTCAGTTTAACCTTCAGGGTCGCGTTGCCATCGTGACTGGTGGTGCCAGAGGCTGTGGTTATGCCTTTGCCCAGGGCTTAGCTGAAGCAGGAGCCGATGTCGCGCTCTTTGATGTTATTGACCCGGCCCCCGCGGACTTTGAGAAGCTTTCGTCTGCTTATGGTATCAAAGCTCGGGCGTACAAGGTCGACGTCACGTCTCTTGCAAGTCTTGAAGCGGCATTCGCCTCGGTGAAGACCGACTTTGATGGAAAGTTAGATATTCTTGTGGCATGCGCAGGTGTGAACAAAAATGTTCACTTCCTAGAAACAGAAGAGTCTGATTTTGAAAAGCTGTTTGGCGTGAACTGCAAGGGGGTGTACTTCTCGGCCAAACTTGCCGCCAAGGCGATGATTGCAAATGGTACCAAGTGCGGCAGCATTATTTTGGTAGCTTCGATCGCCTCCCATATGGCTATCAGATCCCAGCGCTCTACCGCCTACTGTGGTACCAAAGGTGCCGTCCGGGCTATGGTGGCACCGATCGCTGCTGAGTTGAACGAGTATGGGATCCGTGTCAACTCAATAAGCCCGGGATATGTACGCACAGAGATGACGAATCCCTTCCCTCATCTTCTTGAAGGATGGAAAGATGAAATTATGAACCACCGCGTGGCCGAGCCCGACGACATTCAAGGGGCATGTGTGTTCTTAGCGAGCGATGCTAGCAGGTGAGTTGAGAATATTCAACCGATCTCAAGAGACTACCGATGCTAACAAGGGGAAGGTATTGCACAGGGAGTGATATCTTGGTCGATGGAGGAGTGACGAAGTGGTAGATAGATTCGTAAAATATAATACCATCTTGCTTATGCTTCGGTTCTTCTATACAAGACTGTATGTGATGGACTTGTTGACGGGCTCAAGGGTCATTGACAGTCGTTTGTTGATAATTCCAAGACTGGCTCATTCATGAGGAGCCAATCTTTCGACAATTTACTAGTTCAAAAGGAATACCGTTCGCACAATCCACCGAGTATTAGAAGACGGTTATTAAACAACCTGACATATTTACTATACCGCAGCGATGACTCGTTCACGATGACCAAGATTTGCTCCACGGATATAGTCAATTCTGGCTCTTCTGAAGTTATTAGACGGAACGTTCAGCGCCTAATCTAATGACGATCTCATCGAGAAGATCCGGCTTCCGCTGATTGAATAACAATCAAGCTTCTAGATAAAATATCTAAAACGGACGTCATCCTCGCCCTCGGTGATCTCACTTGTATCAACGTCTTCTGCACGGAGCTCAACACCTTGTTCCCGATTGCGTCGACGATTCTCCCGTCGCATCCATAATCCCAGGCCCAGCGTGAAGAAAATGCAGGTGAGATTGCACGCGGCTGTGGCAATCAAGGTCGGCGCATACTGAGGAGCATATGTGGTTCGGAACGTTCCGGCCGACAAGATGCCTCCGATATTTCCCAAGCCAACCAGCAATCCAGTGGTAGCCGCTCGGGAGTTTTCACTGGGATTGTTATTGTTATGCCACGAGTGAACGAGGCAGCTGGGGATGTAGGCACCAGAAGCCAACAGGAAGCAAGCGAAGTAGGCAACGCCGACGTTCTTGACGGCGTCAACGAATGCAAGAATCAAGAGGCCGATCAAGCTGAGAGTCAAACTTCCGATGATATGGTATGTCCGCTCCCGGTTTCGATCCGAGCTGTAGGTAACAGCAAGCAACACCAAGAAGCCAACCACATTCGGCGGAACGGTCAATAAATTTGTGACGACAACGCTGTAGCCGAGACGTCTCAAGACAAGAGGGAGAAAGTTTGCAGTCGTGGCAAAGGCGACGGGGTATGTCAAGCTGATTATGCACCAGACTATGAATTTCAGGTTCCACCAGTTTTGGAAGCACTCTTTAAAGCTGAACTTCTCGCCAACGGCTCTGGAACCATCTCGGAGTGCCCGAAGAGTGGCAACCTCCTGCTGCTCCTTGTTTAGAAACCAGGCTGTCTGTGGAGTGGCGGGGAGCCACCAGTAGGCAATGATCCCAAAAACAACCGTCATGGCACCTGTACGTTGTCAATATGAGAGATAGAATATGACCACTGAGTATGGATCTTACCTTCAATCAGAAACAACCACATCCATCCTGTGATTTTGGGGTGGTGGATTTGAAATACTCCAAAGGATATGAGCCCCGAGAAGGCACTGGCCAGGAGAGCGCTGCCGAAGAAGATGGCAATTCGAAAGCCGAGTTCGCCACGCGTATAGAACAGCGTCAGATAGAAAATAGCACCGGCGAAGAATCCCGCCTCGAATGCACTGTGCTTGTTGTTAGACCCCGTAGGA